TGGGTTCGCCTCGCAGTGCTGCTCAGGACGCGCCCTGGGAGAGAGGTCCGTGGAGTAGCAGCAGCAGCATCTTTCTTGGCATCGCTCGGACGTGTGCATTTTTCCTTCGGCGAGGACCATCGAGGAGCATCCTTGACCATTTGGCGAAAAAACACATACGAAACCGGAACAAACAAAAACACGGGGAATGGACGTCCGAGCGATGGCCAGCTTTTGGCTTACCCAAGGCGGTCCCCACGTTCGAGCAGCTCGACCGCGACGGCGACCAGCATCGTCTGAGCTATCCCCGCCCCCACTTGGCCAGGGCACCTCGGCCCCACCAGCCCACCCTGTTGGGTGCGGATTGGCCCCGCGAGACCTGGAAGGAGGAGGAGGAGGAGGAGGAGGAGGAGGAGAGGAGGAGGAGGAGGGAGGCAGAGGAGGATGCTGAGAGTGGTGGTCGGTCGTTGGTATCAGTGGTGCATAGGCAGATTATTCGTCTTCTTAGAGGATATTGCTTTTCTCTTCTTTATTCTAGTTATTCTTTTTTTTTTTATTGTTCTGATTGCGTCGCTCTTCTTCTTCTTCTTCTTCTTCTTCTTTTCTATCTTCTTCTTCTTCCTTTTTTTTTTTTCTGCTCTTCTTCTTCTTCCCGTTTTCTTCTTGTCCTTCTTGCTTCTTCTATCTTCTTCTTCTTTCTTTTTCTTGCTTATACTTCTTCTTCTTCTTCTTCTTCGCTTCTTCTTCTTTCGTTCTCCTCTTCTTCCTCTCCCCTTCCTGCCCCTGAGATCCGACGTCGCGAACAATAATGCAACACCATGACATAGCACGACCAGTGACCGAGGCCGAATCGTCCTGTTGGAGTTGTCGAGGGCCGGATCGTTCAGCTGCATGCTTCGAGAGCCGAATCGGTCCGGGATGGTCCGGGGGCCTGACACCGGGCCACAGAGCCGAGTGTCAGGTCGGGCCTGTCCCACTCCAGGGAGATTTTCGACGAAGAAAAAAATTACTCCGACGGAAGGACCCCACATGAGAATCCTCTTGGCGAATCTGGAAAAAGCCCTCACCGTCGTCCTCGTGGTTGGTGAGGCGTCCTGGCTGTCTCTTCTGCGTATATTTCTTCTCGCCCTGGCGCGGGCCCTCCCCCCGCTCCCTACGTTGCCCCCGACCTCGCCCTCCTGTTTTGGCTCCGGACATTCAGAAAGTGGCCCAGGAGTGGTGTTCTGGGAACACGAAGAACACGAAGTGGCCTACAGTTGGCTCCGGGCATTCAAATGTGGCCCGGGAATGGTGTTTTGGGAGCACGAAGAACACGAAGTGGCCTACAGTTGGCTCCGGGCATTCAAAATGTGGCCTGGGAATGGCGTTCTGGCAGCGCGAGAGCCCAAAAGTGGTGACAGTTACAGGAATTTGATGACCTGCTCGGATTGGTAACATGATCCGCGGGCCTCATAGGGAGGGGGCTCCCGCTTGAGACTTCCTTGCAATTCAGTCACAAATGTGGCCTTGGAAACATGATCCGCGGTCCCCATAGGGAGGGGGCTCCCGCTTCAGACTTCCTCGCAATTCACTCACAGATGTGGCCTGGGAATGGCGTTCTGGCAGCGCGAGAGCCCAAAAGTGGCGACAGTTATAAGAATTGGATGCCCCGCTCGGATTAGTAACATGATCCGCGGGCCCCTTAGGGAGGGGGCTCCCGCTTGAGACTTCCTCGCAACTCACTCGCAGACGAGGCCCAAGGCGAGTGTGAGTGAGTGAGTGACTGACTGGTGATGATGATGATCATCACACTCTCTCACGCGCACGCTCATCATCATATGTGAATGCTGATGAATCAGTGGGTGAGTGAGTGAGTGAGTGAATGAGTGAGTGAGTGAGTGAGTGAATGAGTGAGTGTGTGAGGGATGATGAGTGAGTGAATGAGTGAGGAGTGAATGATGATGATGATGATGGTGGGTTCCTGTTCCTGCGCGGGGTGTCCAGAGAAAACAAGAACCCCATTTTGGATGTGGGGAAAAACCAAACAAAAAAATGCTCGAAAATAGTAGAAACATCGTCCCCAGACTATGTTCTGCCTGTTTTTGAAGATTCCCCCTGGTAGAGGGACACGCCCGACTCAAGCCGAGTGTCAAGAGATCGGGCGGGTGACCGGTGGTCATCTGGAGAGGGTGGCCCAAATATGGGTTGAAGAACAGGCCCCCTACGGGGACCTTTGAGGCCCCCTTTTGGGCACCAACGGGCTCCAAGCGGGGCCTGCAGGGTCCTTTGAGGGCCCCTTTCTTCGCCCGGGGCCCCCCCCCTTACCACGCGCCCGAGAACATGCAACGCCCGGACCCCAGGGTATAGGAGGATGACGATTTTAAATGACCGGGGGTCGTGTTCACGCGGCGGCGCCCGGGATGACGATTAGAAAAAACCGGCCGCGGGCTGGAAGACTATTTTTTTATCGTTCTCCTCCAGTCAGAAAATTGTGCAGAAATAGCAGACAACTATTTGTTTAATCGTTCTCTCCCGTTTTTTATCGTCATCCCGCATTATACCCCCCTCTAGGTGGGCAAGGCGAGCAGTTTCAGCCCAGGTCACGCCCGCCAGTGGGGACAAGGGGTCAGGCAGAAGATGCCCAGGCGACGGCGTCATCACGCGGGAGGAGTTCAAGGCGGCGCTGCGGGACTGCGGCGCCGGCGCCGTGCTTGCCCTGCAGGACCGACGATTCGGAAAACGCTTGCTAGCCCAACGTGTGCTTTTGCCCCGCTCGGGTCCGCCGGCAGCACGCGGCCTGTGCCGGCCCTCGTGTCACAGCCTGCGTCGTACCGAGTCCGAGGTGGGCATTTGTACATAACCACCACCTGGAGGATTTATCCTCGGGGGCATCGACAGCTGGCGTATATGAATCAGCCTGACGAGGGACCCAATCATATGCTGCTGCGAGTGCCGCGAGGGAGAGGAGACGAAGGAAGGGTACGCCGAAATGGGGCGGCGGTGCCATGCGGACCTTCTCGCTGGGGCCTTCGGTGGAGCTCCCTATGGGGGCCACGAAACGTCTGTGTGAGGGTTGCGCCGACATGGGGCAGCGGTGCCATGCGGACGCTCCCGCTGGGGCCTTCGGTGGAGTTCCTTATCGGGGCCACGAACCCTGTGAGGGGTGTGCCAAAATGGGGCGGCGGTGCCATGCGGACATTCCCGCTGGGGCCTTTGGCGGAGCTCCCCATGGGGCCACGCACCGTGTGAGGGGCGCGCCGAAATGGGGCGGCGTAGCAATGCGGACGTTCCCGTTGGGGCCTTCGGTGGAGCTCCCTATGGGACCACGAACCGTTTGAGGGATGTGCCAAAATGAGGCGGTGGTGCCTGCGGACGCTCCCGCTGGGGCCTTCGGTGGAGCTCCTTATGGGGCCACGAAGCGTCCGTGTGAGGGGTGTGCCAAAATTGGGCGGCGGTGCCATGCGGACGCTCCCGCTGGGACCTTCGGCGAAGCTCCCTATGGGGCCACGAACTGTGCGAGAGGCGTGCCAAAACGGGGCGGCGGTGCCATGCGGACGCTCCCGCTGGGGCCTTCGGTGGAGCTCCTTATGAGGCCACGACCCTTGTGAAGGTTGTGCCAAAACGGGGCGGCGGTGCCATGCGGACGCTCCCGCTGGGGCCTTCGGTGGAGCTCCCTATGGGACCACGAACCGTGTGAGAGGTGTCAAACAATGGGCCGGCGGTGCCATGCGGACGCTCCCGCTGGGGCCTTCGGTGGAGCTCCCTATGAGGCCACGAACCGCGAGAGGTGTCAAAAAATGGGGCAGCGGTGCCATGCGGACGCTCTCGCTGTGGCCTTTCGTGGAGCTCAGTGGAGCTCCCTATGGGGCCACGAAACGTGTGATGGGTGTGCCGAAATGGGGCGGCGGTGCCATGCGGACATTCCCGCTGGAGCCTTATGGGGCCACGAACTGTGTGAGGGGTGTGCCGAAATGGGGCGGCGGTGCCATGCGGACGCTCCCGCTGAGGCCTTCGGTGAAGGTCCCTATGGTGGGGCCACGAACCAGTGTGCAAAAATGGCGCGGCGGTGCCATGCGGACGCTCCCGCTGGGGCCTTCGGTGGAGCTCCCTATGGGGCCACGAACCGTGTGAGAGGTGTGCCGAAATGAGGCGGCGGTGCCATGCGGACGCTCCCGCTGGGGCCTTCGGTGGAGCTCCCTATGACGATGATGACGATGACCATGACGATGACGAGGCGGATGTGAAGAGGGAGGAGGAGGAGGAGGAGGAGGAGGAGGAGGAGGAGGAGGAGGAGGAGGAGGAGGAGGAGGAGGGATGGGGCAGCGGGAAGGAAGGAACGCGGGGCGCTGTCTCTTCAAAGCGAGGACCCAACACCACAGGATGGCTGGGAAATGCAAATTTGTACGCCCCCCCAGGGCGCCCCATACCGCTGGAACATTTGCAGCGAATCTACCGCCCTCCCGGGCCTCCCACGGATCCCCAGGAGGGCCTCGACACGGCCCAGGACGATTCCGAGACATTCCACAATGGTTTTCAGTTGGTTCAAAATTTGTTCCCGACGGCCATGACACCACCACGAGCACCAAAGACAGTGCCAAGAGGCCTCCAAAAAGATTCCAACACCGCCCTAGAGACCTCCAAATAAGCCCTCGAGATGCCAAAACACAATCAAGACACCAACGGGAAATCAATGGCGTGTGTGTTCTCGCATCTTCGGTCCCGATGCGTTTCCCAGGCTTGCGCATGATCTCCAATAAAGCCACAAGATGTTTTCAAGAAACTCACCAAGCGGCCCCAAGAGGCCACCAGGAGGTTTGAAGAGGCACCCACGAGGCCACAAAGAGGCTCCCAAGAGGTTCCTAAAAGCACATGGGAACCGCCCAAGGGGCGCCCATAAGGTCCCAGAAGCCCAAAGAGCGCCCAAGACACCCCCAATACGCCCCCAAGAGCCCCCACCGAGATCCCCCGAGACATCCCAAAGGCCCCGAACAGGCCCCACGAGACCCCACGAGACGCCCGCAACATGCTAGTTGAAGGCTTTGAACACACCCCAGAGCCGCCCTCGGGAGACTGCCACGGACATTGTCTCTCCTTTTTCCCCCCCTCCTCCTTGATCCCTTTCTCCTTCTCATCCTCCTCCTGTTTCCCCGCTGTATCTCTCCCCCACATCCCTTTCCACCTCAGCTCTCCTTCTCTCGTTCCTCCTTCCGCCCCCCTCACCCAGCTTCCTGCCGCACGAAGCGGTGGCAGGCCCCACTTGAACATTACCCGGACGACGTGCTCAGCCCTCTCGCAGCGCATGGCCAGGGCAGCTACATCAATTCTGCGAGCGGTATCCTGGGAGGCTCGTGACACGCACGGCCAAGAGGATCCCGACGAATGGACAAGGGATTGATGCAGGCAATTAGTTGACCCCTGGGTCGAGGGGAATCGGGGCTGGACAGACCTCCTAACAGTGACACGTCGATTAGTGCATTGGCCGTTTTCGGTTCTCGAGAGGGCGCCGCGGCCGTTATTTTGCAGGCTTGCTCCCGCCAGGTTTGGGCCCGAGGTCGTTTTCACTAAGCCACGTTTTACTAGAGGGAGGTCTGTCCATCCCCGAGGGAAAGAGGGCTAGGACTAAGGAGAAGGCGGACAGGGAGCTTGATACGTCAGCGTGGCCGCAGCCAGATGGCATCACCTCAGCACGATCTTACCGACAAACGGCTGGGAAGACAACATGTTTCTGTGGATGCCAGCAGCCAGTTGCAGCCAGTGCATCGCAGCCCCCCCAGAGATGGCGAGGTCTAGTGTGTTAATCTTGGTAGAGCCCCCTTACGATGGCTCCGCCAGCAGCCCTTGAAAGTGGCGAAAGTTTCGCAGAGCGCAGCCCCCCAGGGACGGCGTGACCCTCCAGCAACAGTTTAAACTGGCGGCAGCTTCGCAGATTGCCCCCCCCCCGCCCGCCGCAGGGATGGCGAGGTCGAATATGAATCTGGGTAGGGCCCCGCTACGCTGCCAAAATTTTGGCTTGCCAAACGAATGTTCGAATGTCGAGCAGTCTGAACTAAACCAACCCCGAGTTATCATATTGTCTCTTCTGACCGGGTCGGCCAACTAGCTCCACCTTGCGCCTGACTTCCTTTCGCTCCAGTTCCCCTTAGGAGCCCTACGAGGCATTTTGCAGAAGAACCGCACAACGCAACAGAGCCCCCCCCAGTCGCCCTCGAAAGTGATGTGGCGAAGTTTTTGCAGATAGCCGCACCCCCAGGGTTGGCGAGGTCTGGTGTGCGAATCTGGGTAGGGCCCCACTGTGCTGCCCCCCCCGTCGCCCTCGAAAGTGAAGTGGCGACGGTTTTGCAGATAGCCGCGCCCCCAGGAATGGCGAGGTCTACTGAGCGAATGTGGGCAGGACCCCAGTCTGCTGCCCCCCCCCCCCCAGCAGCCTTCGAGAATGGCGGCAGTTTCGCAGGTCGCAGCCCCAGCCCCCGGCGATGGCGAGGTTTGATTTGAAAATGGGTAGATCCCCGCTGTGGTGCCCCCCCCTCCGCAACCCTCGAAATTGGCGAGAGGTTTGCAGATCGCCTCCAACCAGGAATCGCGAGAGCTAGCCTCAATTTAGGTAGGGCCCCCGCTGTGCTGGGCTCCCCAGCAGCCCTCGAACGTGGCGACAGTTTCGCAGATCCCCCCTCCCCCCCGGGAATGGCGAGGTCTAATTTAGGTTTACGTGGCGTCTCACTCCGATGGGCGCTCCAGCAGCCCTCGAAAGTGGCGACGGTTTCGCAGATCGCAGCCCCCTTTATACAAATGAAGAGAGGTTAGACGCTAAGGAGCGGTCTCCTTCTAAGATGCATTCCCCCCTTCCCCTACCCCCTCGTGCGCGCCGCCACATAAAAGGTGGCCGCGAGTCGTTCTTTGACGTGCCCTGGGGGCTCCACGAGAGCCCCCTAGAAGCCGGAGACAGGGAGAACCGCGCGTCGCGGATCTGTTTCGTACGCGAGCATGTTTGGGGTGCGTTTTTCTGCAGACGTTTGCCCCCCGGGGGAGGGGGAGGGGGAAGGGGAGGGGGACCCCCCTTCCCCCCGCCTGCTTGTGCCCGCCGCCGACGAGCACACCTTGGCGCCGACGCTCTGCAGATCTCCAGCAGGGGCGAGGAGGGACTCGGGGGGCCTCTGGGTATGGGCCCGGGATGGACAGAGCACACCTCGGCGCTCTCGCCTTGCGGATCCTCGGCATGGAGCGGTTGCTGCCCGGCGTGGCCCTGCGTTGCTGAATTCGCCTTCGTCTTGGCTTCGTCTTAGACGAGGTCCGAGCGCTCCTCTGTAGACGATCTCAGCTGATCTGCCCCCTTTCGGGGCAGCGTCCCCAAAGGTTGGGCCTCGTGCAGGGGCAGGCCGTAAGACTGCTGGAGGGTCGCGGAAAGGGAGACACGCGAACCCAGACCACCTCGCGTTGCGAACAAAGACACGGCGGAAGACGGTGGCGTAGTGTTAGCCTCCTGGGGCCGTCGACGAGAAGCTGCTCGGGAGGCCGAGGCGCCCCCTCCTGGGGATCAGGGGCAGCGCTGCGCGTGGCTGCCACCTGCCCTGAGCTCCGGCGCCACGGCACCACTGCAACACCGCGGAAGCTCACCGCCACAGCTGACGGACGAACAACACACACCCATACCCATAGGCCCACAGGGGGGTCGTTGGGAGGAGGACTGGCTATGGGTTTGGGTGCAGTCTGTCGAACCCTGGGGAACTTGGGAGTCCCAAAACGGTGCGGTGACTGACCGTGCGGTGACCTCGAAATCCTCCCAGACCTCACCGCACGGTCCGTCACCGCACGGTTTTGGGACCCTGGAGGCCCCTGTCGCCCGAGACATCCTCGGAGAAGGACTCGAGTCCCAAAACCGTGCGGTGACCCCGAATCCCCACCGACTCACCGCACGGTGTGGTCACCACACCGTTTGGGGGCCCCCAAGGAACGCTCCCGTTCGAGCGGGGACCCCCATCCGACAACACGCACCCGTAGCCCTCCCCGATCCCCCCATGGGTATGGGTGTGTGCTGTTGGCTCGTCAACAGCTCTGCAAGGCCGCCCTGCCGCGAGCGCCCCCCGCGGCTCCTCGGCAGAGGAGCGGCTGCTGCCCGGCGTGGCCCTCCCCGGCGGCGCGCCGCCGGCCGCGCCCGCGCGCGCCGGCCGCGAGGCCCCCGCGGTCGCGCGGCGCTCCGAGGCCTTCGGGGGCAGCGCTGCGGAACTAGGGGGCCACATGCGAACCCTAGTTGGTCCTCCTCCTCCTCCTCCTCCTCCTCCTCCTCCTCCTCCCCCTCCTCCTCCTCCTTCTCCTCCTCCTCAGCGATGCGGGGCCCTGAAGAAGGAACCCTTTTGGTTGGGGAGGGGCTCCGCGTTCCTGGAGTGTTTCGCAGCTTGCCTCAGGTTTTCCTCAGGTTTTCGGTAGGACATCGGAGTTTAACTTATGGAAAAAAGTGGCCTCGTTCCTTATTTAGGGTTCCTTAGGTCAACGCCCCGACTGTACCTCCCACGATTTCTGAGGGGGAGGGTGGGGTTCACTTCGTTCGGGAGCTCCCGAGCGAAGTGAACCCCACCCTCCCCCTCAGAAATCGTGGGGGGTAGGGGTAGGGTTCGCATGTGGCCCCCTAGGAACGCACGAGTCGCCACAGGGGATCTGGACGCCCGAAAAGGGTACGGAAAGAATGGGTACACTGCCCAACAGCAGTTCCTGTTCCTGTGTCCATTCGAGGCAGAAGGCCGCCTGCCCAACAGCGGCCGCTGTTGATTTGGGACAACATTTGTTGTTGGGCATTGTACCCATTCTTTCCGTACCCATTTCGGGCGTCCAAAGGGGAAGCGGGTCCTGCGCTCAGTGGGCCCTGGAAGCAGCAGGGCCGTGCGGTTCCGTTTTTTTTTCGTTGTTCTACTCGTGCCGACGCCGTTGTTTGGCCCGCGCTCCCTCGGCGCTTCGTTCCCCGGTTCTGGCCCCGGTTTCGGTCCAGGAGTCTTGTTTGCCGTTTCTGGTCGCCGTGTTTTGCCGCTTCCATTCGCAAGACATTTCTTCGGAAACAGTGGAAAACGGCCCTGCCGTTTCCCGGGCCCTGAGTTCCCAGAGAAGAAAGAAACACCACCACGAGCCGGGGGGGCCAGTCGCTCCCCCTCTCCGAGCCGGTGGCGCCCTGTCCCGGGCGCGCCCCCAGAGAGTGTCCCAGTCGGAGAGTGCCACCAGCTCGGGGGATGAATTCTGTGGGGTTCTGGTGGTAGTGGCTCTTTTTCGGAAACTGGAACGTATACATTACCAGTGGCGGGCTGTTTTTCAATTCCAGGATTTTTTGAGGGTCGGGGACGACGTCGGGGTGGTGTGGTGTATACGTGTTTCCTAGCTTTCCCGTGGAAACAACAAAACATTTATACACCAGGATGCCGTATACAGAAGAATCCGCTTTCTTGTGCGAATCTCAGTGCGGGACCGGAAAAAAAACACACGTGTATAAAGTTCGGTTCCTTACTTTTTGCTCTCATGACCGAGGGAAGCGGGTCCTGAGGTTTGTGTCGTTTTCGGCCGCTCGGGGCCCTCTGCGGGCCCCGAGCGACCTCCAGAGAGCGGCAGGGGGGTGAAGTTTATAGGGGGGACTCCAGCGAGCAGGAAGGATTTTGGCGGAAGGATTGGCGGGCTCGAGGTTCTGAGTTCGGGAAACTCGTTGTTGCCTCTTTCTGCCTCTGGGGTCCACTCCTGGGCCCCAGGATTGTCAACCACAGATCTGGAGTCAAAAACCCCTCCAGATGGACCCTCGAAGCCCGATCGCCCAACCCGCCGAGGAGCGTGCGGCTTTGCTATCGGGGCCTGGTGCCGATTGGTCGGCGGTGCATCGCCGATTCAAGTTCGAGGAGCCCCTCCCTGGGCTGGTCCGCCTGTCATTACTCGGACCTCCGGCGGCCGTTCGGGAGGATCCGGGCAGCCCCGGAGCGCTCTCGGCGAGGCGCAGCCGCTGGAAGGCATCCCGAGGCATGCCGCCTAGAACGGAAGAGACCGTTTGAACACCTCCAATCTCGAGCCTCCAACCACG